CATCAGTACTAAATCTATCAAACCCAGCTTCAACGTTGATATTATAGGTATTACGTAAAAATATGATTTACTGTCTGAAATCTGAAGGATTAAAAAAACAGGAAAAACTAATCTTTTTTTCATATAAATATCCTGCATATTTTTTAATGTTCCCACTTTAAAATTTCTCTGATTTGGAATAGTATTGACATTGTTTTATATAATTCCCTTTCCCAGCCTGGAAAATCTATAACTGGCATTGCATTTTTCGTCTCGATATCGTATAATTCCCAGCACACCCGGAAAATCGAAACCTGTCGAGTTTCCTCATACCGTACCGCGATTCAAATTTGCTAAAACATAGAACTGCGCCTCCACAATAAGAAACGCCAATAGCACATGACTCACAAATGAATAATTGTATACAGTTATGCGTATGAAGATATAAACAAAATAAAGGCTTGTGTATTAACCTGGGCATTCTCCGTTTGTTCTCATCTTCCACTCGTGGGAATACATTGACCTGTCTAATGGTATTTTTGTCTGGAAGCACGAGAAGAACACCCGGTGGACAATGCGAATTGCACGGTACAGGAGTGTTCGATGGTGGAAACTGCTATTTAATAATAATAATTGTTATCTATTTCCAGTCAGGCAATAAAATTGTTTAGGAAGTGTCGATGAATACAAAATACAAATTGAAAATGAAAAGAAAAGGGGAAGACAGACTCATACTCTAAAACATTTTCCTAATAAATAACTCTTTAATTATTTTTTGAACACAGAGAAACTAGGCCTTTAAATGATCTGGAGGGTGGTTATTTATCTTTGGACCAATGTATTCCGATTTTTCACAAACTACACTTAAACGATTTGATCTCCACTAACTTTATTGAAAATAATCATAACATGTTTCGCTAAAACATTAGCTTTTTCAAATGATTAATCATTTGAAAAAGCTAATGTTTTAGCGAAACATGTTATGATTATTTTCAATAAAGTTAGTGGAGATCAAATCGTTTAAGTGTAGTTTGTGAAATTACTATGGATCTTCATCAAGTAACGGCCGAATCAATCAGAAAAAAAAAAAACAATGTATTCCGGTCAATATGACGTTACTTTAAATCTAGCTAAGGACAAATGAAAATGGTTCTTGGTTCTTGTATAATGTTGATGAAGTTTTAGATTTGTTGATAAAGTTGATTTGTTTTTGAACACATAAACAGTTCCAAAATATGAACTGATGTTGAAGTTAGGACATCAGCGTAGAATGAAGGATTATATACACCACTCTAGGAGGGACTACCATACAGGTAAGAGCGGAGAAGGGATGCTATCAAGGAGGCGTACTATCACCATTATTATGGGCAACCCTAGTTGCCTTCTGAAGAAGGCATATATTGCTTGGTATATGCTGACGATCAGGTGATAGTCACAATTTGCAGGCGTCATCGTCGGCAGATGGTGCGAGCAGAGAACCTCTCAGTGAATGCCCAAAAAACCACTGTCGCCTTGTTAACAAGAAAAAGAGTGATGAGAGGACTAAAACCACCAACACTCAGTGTAGTGGAGATCCCTTTCGCCATGGAATTCAAATTCTCAGGTATGATTTTCGATCACAGGCTCACGTGGAACCTACACATAAGGCCAAGATGGCCCTGGGAATCTGCAGAAAAAAGTGCGAGAAAAACTGGGAGCTGAACACAAAACTGACATTCTGGTTATATGCAAGAGTAGTGAAACCCATGATAACATACGGTGTGTGTGACTTTGTGGACAAGAACAAAGCAATCGGGTACGGCTAGGCTATCAGACAGCATACGATATCTGGCGTGCCTATGTATTGCGGGAGCCATGAGAACGAACCCAACTGCAGCACTTGAGGTCCTACTCGGACTTCCACCATTACACATCTACATACAAAGAGAAGCTCGACTGGTGACACAGGCTAATGCAGGGGCAAACCCCAATCAGTCAGTCACACGGTGCAGAATACTTGAAACTGTGCAATGAATTGAAGGCAGATCCAATACTAGGAATGCCTGTGGATAACACAGTTCCGTAGGTATCACTGGGTCCTAAAATTCTTAGTCCAGCCGCTTCCTTGGCTAAAGAGTCGGCAATGCCATTAACTTTACTCCTGTCGTCTCCTTTAACCTACCTCAGGGTAATGTCATTATCTATTGAGGCTTTAGCTGAATCTTAGTGACACTCTAGCACTAGCCCTGAGGTAACACGTTGTCTATGAAGTATTTTGGGGCTTCAGACAAGAAGGAAAGAAACCTTCGACCTAGAAAATATCAACTAGATAACTAGATTTTCTAATGGAAGCGCAAATTTGATGTCGAAATGATCTAAAGAATGAGCCTATGATACATTTTCATACGATTCACAGTGAGCTTATGACACAATCGTTTGAAACGAATGGACAGGCATGTCGTATTAAATATGACGTTCCGTATACTTACATAAACTTTTACAGGTACTTACGCGCCCGACTTGACCCTATAAAACGTTTTTTCTGGTAGATTTACCGTCACACATGTGTCACGAGCACAATCGTATTCAAACAAACCAGAAATTTATGGCGGCCGGTGCTACCAACGTGAAAAAAGATGAATGCGGCTCCTCGACGTTAATAGAAGGCGCATCTCCATGAAATATGACCAGACATGACGTTTAGTATTCTACATGACCATTAAGTTTTTCGTATTAAAACCATTTTCATAATTCTAAGGCGCTTCTTATCAGCAAACAACGTTACGATTATATGAACCATAACTTATATCTTCCAGGTTAGTAGTCATAAAGGTAATTGCTAATACTTCTTCGCCGTGTAGCGCTGTACTAATGAGATTACTCGTACGGTATAGGAGCCAATAATTGAGTTTATTTATTCAGGAAATTGCCTATAAAAAGGTTATGGAAATGTGTGACATTCCTACGCGATGTTTCGCGGAATCTTCATAGCCATCGAATGATGGTCCACTTATGAAATCACTCACATGGAAACGATAACTTGCCAAAGGAGTGGAGCTGCCACAACAGTAGGGTCTTTCATGTAGCGCTCTCTATCTTGAAGTTGAATAAAACAAAGTGTGCATGAGATATAGTCGAAAATTTGCATTCTATGTGTGGAACATCGTTCAAATGTCCGCCAAAGGAATGGGCCAACCTGTGGAAGATCAGTATAAACCCTGACAAGAGTCAGGTCATACTGTTCACCCGGAGGTGAGCACACCCGGAAGGAAACGTCATCTTCAGCGGACAAGAAATTCCGGGGACTAACGAAGCTAGATACATGGGAGTCAACCTAGACAAAAGATCAACGTTCAGGTCTCACGTACGGCAGAGAATAGGAATGGCATAATCTGCCCGACAAAACGTATTACCAATGCTGCTGCTGGTAATGATGAAGACCGTAAAGTTACCAATAATCCTGAATGCCTGCACTGCCTGTGGCCAGTGCGCAGCGACATACAGAAGACAGATCCAGATGCATGGGACGCTCTTGGATCTCATGTGGATTGATTCAGTTCCAAATTCGACAATGTTTGTTCACGTACCCATTCATCCAGCCCCATCGCTGGAAGTTACACTGTTATTTTTTGTTTGTGGTTTTGTTGGTGTTATTGATGAATTTCATTACTTGTAAACGATGTGTCCGTCTGATTAATAATTCACCTATCACCAGGTCCGACAATATAAAAACACAAGAGAATTCCATTCTTAAAAATTGCATTTTACACAAATACGATACAAGAAAATGTGGTAACCTACATCAACCATACTCAAGATTAACCATTGGGCAAAACCCTAACATATATAATAGATTTATAGATTTGTTCGATATAGCAAAATTGATCTTTCAGATCTGAGGATTTTCAAAAACTCCCTATACTCCTTTGTTAGGGGAATTTCCAGTGAAATGAACTAATATGTTTAATTTAATCGAAATTAAACGACCTCATGCATTTATTTTTATGATATTTAGTATGTTATAAAAATATCCCTAGACTTTTCCGATGTGTGTATATATGTTATACTTTTTTACGTGCCGACTTTTCATATGTTCATATGTAGACTTAATACTAAATTTATATTATATTTTGTGAGTCCATTAAGTTATACAGTCTGTAACCACTTCGTTTTTTAATAACTTCAGTGACGAATAAAGTTCTATTTTATTCTATTCTTATTACCATATGTTGATAATAAAAGTCACATAGGTCTCAAACTTGTTCCTTGTGGAACAACAATATTTCTTTCTTCATTGTGGTTGCTGTATAGACGTGTAGCATTCAGGTAGGCCTAGTTTCAATGCAGAAACAAAATAATAGTAATATTCATTTGCAAACCACTTTTCTCGATCCAAATTCTTCACTTGCCTTTATTTCACTTTTCATCCTCGAAATCGTTTATCTGGTCTATAATGAACGAATTTTCTTTTCGTATGACGATGTGTATACAAGAATAGACGTAGGAATATGAGAACAAAGACAAATTAAATTGCCAACAGACATTATCTTGGAGAGCACCAAAATCCAGACCAAAGACATTCGAAATGGCATCAAAACGTCTCAAGAAAAAAAACAATGATAATTCATATTATCACGAATCCTAAGTTCATCTTATTTTTCAGTACAAAATGACTTTTCAACATGTGAAACGCTTTTGTCAGGTCTACTAATTCGTTAATGAAATTTATCGAAATTAATACTTAGATGAGTATAGTTTTCTATTCAGAAGGAATAAATAAAATGCAACTTCATTTGATTTCCAAATTCATGTACACAATAATTATCACATGATCCCAAGGAAGTCATAGAGTTAGAACCCATGGATCTCATCTAATCTTGAATACAAAATTGCTGTTCAATCTCAAAACACATTATCACTATTATTCCCAAGCTACTTTCAAATCACAAAATTCTCGACATCAAAGTCAATCATGAAACAAAACGAGCTCTCAAACGAGCTGCCACACCGTCCCATCGAAATAATGAAAAGAATTTACCTACAATTACATTATTGGCCACAGCGTCATAATCCATAGAACCAGGGAAAACAAACGAACTAACCTCTCTGCGGCGTACGCGTCATAACCGAATCACGCGCGTTTCATCCCAGTTGGCGGAAGGTTAGTCGCACAGGTACTGAACAGCATCCGATCACCTGTACCGAGATTGTGATGCTAGTGCGCACACCGGCCAGTGGCGTCGCTAGCTGTCAGCGGGTTCGAGTCCTGGGATCCCACGAGTGGGCGGGTATGACCTGGGTGTGTGCGCATTGCGCTTAGCGCAGTCTCCCGGGCCTATGGAGAGCGAGGGGAGGGGCAGACACCGCGGAGAGGTGGTGCTTGGAAGAGAGCACGTGAAAAAGAAAGTAATCCTTACAATTAATATTGTGTAACACTGCTCGAGGGGGATTCCACCTTTTGTTGTTTTGGATTCTAAGTTTCTAGGTGGTTTGTGACAATGACGTTATATTGGCTAGTAAATATGCTGTTACGATGTGCGTCAGTGATGTATATTACTTTAGATGTGATAGGGGTAAGGTTTCTGCGGATATTGATTGTAATATACGAGATAAACAGCATGTACTGGGTTTTTTCCATATTTGAGGTTAGTTTTTTCGACTTCAAACAAGCCTCACTATGATTCTATCCTGTCTTTCAGTGAAGATTACGTATATCTCTGATATCAAATAAATATATCGTATGCAAAATTGATTGTTGTTCTTGTAGCGTCTATTTTCAATCGACTGTAAAAACTGAAGAGTACTGGGCCAAGAACAGTTCCCTGTGGCACTCGATACGTCACCCTTCTTGGAGTATTCATTATCAGCTATTACCATATATTTCATTTACGAAAATTTGGAGACAAATACATAAATTGCGATAATATAACACAACGTTTTAAAAATTTGCCTAAAAATCAATTGTTTGGCGTTTTTATCAGTCTACTAGTTTTTGCCCGCGGCTTAGCCTGCGTAGAATTGGGTTTGTCATATTAAGTTTCGTGACAAACCATTTGAAACAAATAGTTACAATATTTTTTTATCAACCCGAAACTCCCAATTTCAAAACTGATGAAATTCAATACAATCTGTCAACCCCTATTTTCCCCTTAGGGGTGGAAATTCCTGATTCCCTTTCTTGTTGCTTATCTACGCTGTACAAAGAACCTACCTGCATATTTCAAGATTCTAGGTTCAGTAGCTTCGGCTGTACGTTAATATAAGAGCGGGCAACAACTAGTGATTTATATTTTTATTTTACAGTAATTGAAAAAATATGCTTCGATAGCTTCGATATTCGAATTATGTTACCTATAAAAAAATTCGCAAAACCAACACAACCGTCAACTACGTTTGCCCTCACGCGTCTGCCCGCGTTTGGGTCGCGTTCTTGCGATGGCGTGTTATTGCTTAGACCGCCCCTCTACCCCCACCCATCGTCCCCTGTCTTCTTACAGTAGACGCGACGCGTAGACTGAAGAATTGGCGGTTCGTATTGGATGATTTTTACTAATCGAGTTTTATGATTGACTGAAAAGTCATAAAATTATATTGGTGCAGTTATAATTACTCAAAATTTTTGTTATCTGTTTAAAATGTGGCGTCTTTGGACGAGTATTAATAGTAATAATGAGTGTGATAACAACGCAGACTTTTTCCTGTGTAGTGATTCCAATAGCGATGGTCTATGCGAAAAAGAGATACTAGTGAATAAGATTCGGATGCATTTGAATATTGAAACACAGATATTATGGTTCAACGCATATAAGAATCTACATCTCAAGTTTGGTTTCGAGGTGAACAAACTATCACAAGCAACATCAGATTTGGCCGAAATTAATTCCTTTCTCAACTGTAAGTAAAATAGTCAAAAACAAACCTTATGAACCCAAGACGTGATGTGATTACCAAAACCTTCAGATGTTCATCTAATAAAATCATTGAAAAAAATAATATACGGATGTTACAAAAGCAATGAGATTCCTACAACTGAAATCATAAGGAAGAAATTGAATACTTCTGGCAATAACGTGAGCTGCTGTGACAAAACTCTTCAGAAATAGATGAAGAAACTAGGATTTAGATTTAAAATAATAAACAAATGTCAAGCAGTTATGGGAAGCAGAAGAATAGTGGAATTGCGTTACAAATACTCAGAACAAATAACTAAATATAGATAAGAACAACGGAAAATTTTCTATTTGGACGAAACTAGGTATGACACTCACGACATAGTTACGAAAGGATGGATTGATGGTTCGAGAATGTATACGCCTAACATGCCTGCAAACAAAGGATCTCGACTGATCATTGTGCATTGCGGAGGATGTAAAGGATGGGTTCTGAATTCTTTGAGGACTGTAATAATGACTATCATAAGAACATGGAAGCTAATATTTTTGAGGAATGGTTTGAAAACACATTGATCCCAAATTAGGATATGAATAGTGTAATAGTTCTTGACAACGCTTCCTATAATTCGTGACAGCTCATCAAATTACCGAATAAAAATTCGAGGAAAGATGAAATACAACGTTTTTCAATAGATAACAATTTGTATTTTCTAGATTACTATAACAAAAACCAACTACTTGAAGTTTTACAGACAAAAACATTTAAAAAAGTGTATGCCCTTGAGAGGATTGCTGAAAATTATGTACACACCACTGACACTTCCCCTCTATTTTTGTGTTTTCAATCCCAATTTGGGGAAATCATCAGACGTAAAATAATTTTCCAAAATATGATAAGACTGTAATAGAGCTAATTAAAAAAGAAGTATTTAATATAACCGAAAAAGACTGGCAGAAAAGGGTTAAAAATGTAATTTTAGTTGAAAAAGACTATATGGAGATTCAACACTTCCGTATTGATGGTGGACATGAATTCATCATTGATTTAAATGACGACAGTGATAGTGAAACAAAGAATATGGAAGAGGAATTATCAGAAGCTTTCGAAGAAAGTTGAGTGAAGAGTTTTTGACACGATCGATTGTTTATATATGTGAGTCAAAAGCATTTTCAATTATTAGCCTATTATTTGAATTCTGTATTCTATGTTACTTCTAATACCACAACTTCATGATGTAGATATTCTTATATAATTAGAAATGATTATTGAAGTTAGCTCCCTAGCTTTATTATTCCCACATTACGCTTTATTAAGATTGTAGATTTCTGAAATAAAAAATAGTTTTGGAAATCAGCATAATATTATTCATTCAAATTGATTAAGCAATGAACAGAAAGAATAAGCCAGACAAAATTATTCTAGAAGTGCCAGAACAACCTTGAAAGATGTAAAGGCCGTTGTTTGAAATGCAATATTTGACAATCATGTTCATAAATATTCTGACGAACATTAATTATATTAGGTTTTGATAACTTGATGAATGATCTTGAAATGTTTTATATGATGTTTTAAAGTTTCGGGAACAAGTATTTCAAAGTTACTTACCGAGATCGATGAAAAAGGCAAATTGGGATTTTCCAATATAGTTAGGTTTGTAACAGGGATAATTTTGTGTGTGGGTTCTGGGTAATAGTAAAGGTTGTGCAGGATGCTTCAGTTTATTTGCTTCTGTCAGTAACGACTCCAAAAACTGAAAACTCACTAATCACTTACCTAACGCCAGAAAGAAAAAAATGTTATTCCACAGGGCTGTTAGCTTGGTTCGACGGCATCGAAATTCACAGAATGAGGTTGAAAACAAAAAACGAAATGTTGAATAAAAAAGAAAACAACAACCTTCGTCGCCAAGGCTGAATTGCAAATAATTATTTAGATGACGGTCAACTAGTACCATCTGGTGGTAAAGAGCACAGGATACTTTCATATGCTACAGGTTGGTTTAGGTCCAAGAGTGGGTCTCTTCGACTGTCCACGGCAACCCGCAAGGGGACCAAATGACCAAAGGGGACCAAATGAACTCAGTTTCTTGACAAAGTCGATCATTTTAAATTGTGAGTGGTTTCTCAGATCAGATTTTAGGAGTGCGGCTCTGCCAAACTCTGAAAACCTTATTCGGTCCGCAGCGGGGCAGTCACAAAGTATGTGCTCTGCTGTTTCATCATTTTTCCAAACAGGACCGACACACACTGTCTTCCGACAGTCCGAGTCTCTGCATATGATTATTTAGATGACAGTGACCAGTGAGAAGGCCTGTTAGATATCGTAGTTCATCCCTACTGTAGTGCAACAACTATTTGGTTCCAAGCTTCGATGAGCTGCCAAATTAGGTGTATTATTCTCATGAGTGGGACAAAGAAGTTCAACAATGGTAATTATTTTGATTCGTGTACGGGAGCCTGGGCCCTTTCAAACATTTTAAAATTCGAATCAGTAGTAACAGATTTCAGGCAGGAGCACAGTGTGCTTATTTAGTGAGTGTAAAAATACGAGTTCTGGATTATTTTTCATTATTATTACCCACGATTGGGGATTGAATTGCCGTGTTCCATTTTTAACAACTAGTGTTGTGAGCTTAATTGTTATTACCTATTTTAAAAGGGATACAAAGCTGAAATCAGACTCTAAAGCCACCCTTCATCAAAGGTATGAATAAAATAGTTGATAAAGCATTCTACAGTCATAGTGTTCTCTTCATCCTTTAGGACTTTTTCGTTTTATGCCGTTGGATAACGTAATAAAGGAATTTCTGAAATTCGAAAGCCTGACAGTTCCGCTACTTCCTGGAAGTTGGGGCAGTGCTGTTTCAACTTCCCAGGTTGCAGCCAAAAAGGGAGGAAAGCTAACGAATCGGATGAGTACCACCATTATTTCTTTGATTATTGCATTTTTCTTCTGACACCCAATTCCGTCACTAGCCAAGTTATTTGTAGTTATTCTCAAGATAAGTTGTTAAACTATATAAATAAATTAGACTTGTTTCAACCCCTAATACGTACAGGGCTAGGTATTAGTACCTATATTAAAAAGTGAGTTTGTAAAGTCACGTAATATAGACGTTCTCTCTCTCTCTCTCTCCCTCTCTCTCCAAAGAAGAAGGTTGCATTGATTGAGCTACATACTTAGGAAATACGAACCACCCGTCTCCACTGAGCTAACCAGTGCTATACTCTACCTCGAATACTGGCTTTCAGTAGAGCACTATAAAATTTTGATACGTGATACGGTTT